GCTGGTGGGGACTGGTATATAGGAAAGGATGTAAAGCTTAGTGCCAATGACTGCATAAAAGCCCATATACACCACACCAGCTAGTCACAAAAAATTCAGCCCTGTAAAAGACAAGAAGGAAAAAAAGGAGATGCCAGAACATAAGGTATTTTTAGGTACATGCTGTGATCTTCAGCATTCTTAATGTCATCTTCATTCTGGGCACCAATCTTCGTCTGAAAGCACAATCATAACCCTCACACATTCATGCAACTATTGGGCTGCTCCAGGAGAGGCTCTCTAGTGTCTCGAATACATCCTATTTGTACACCAAAAAAGCCTTAGCCAAAGTTCATGTAAAAACTAGAAAATGCTCACAGAATTTTTATCAGCTTTAACCTGACAAAGGGGAGATTAAGATGAGCTCTTAGGCAGAAGTTCTTCCCTGTGAGGGTGGTGAGGACCTGACACAGGGTGCCCAGAGAAGCTGTGGCTGCCCCATCCCTGCCAGTGCTCAAGGCCAGGTTAGACGGGGCTTGGAGAAACCTGGCCTAGTGGAAAGTGTCCCTGCCCATGGCAGGGGGTTGGAACTGGATGAGCTTTAAGGTCCCTTCCAACACAAACCAGTCTGGGATGCTGTGGTTTTTAAAATGTGAACTCTAACCATCAAGGCAACTATCAAGATCCTCCCCTAGTAAACAAGAGGAACAATTCTTGCTTTAAAGAAGCAATGTGCCAAATCAGAGCTATCAAATCAATTTCTTTTCCCATTATTTCCTGATTTTCTGCTCATTCAATGACAGACAACTAACTAGTATTTAGAAGGAATATGAGAGGGAGGAGCTGGTTGTATTTACTCAAGTAAGTACTTGGGTACAGTAATGAGTTTGTTTTAAAATATTCATATTATGTAAATGTTAGTTGAAGTTGACAGTAAATATTGAATAGACGTATCAAAAGGGCAGCATGTCGTCTTCACTTCTCCCATGCTGTCTAACATTCAGGCAGCTGTTTGCTCCGATTATATCCATTTTCTTACAGAAAATTAATTAAAAAAAAAATTACCAAAACGATGATCAAACACGACAGATGAAGAAAGGAGTGAGTTTAAAGATCATACTGCCCACAAGAGATTATGATAAAATTATGAAGACTAGTACCTGATTTTTATCAATAATTAGTACCTACTTTTAGGTCTCTTTTTCAGGACATTAGAATGAAAGACACACGGAGGAATGAGGCCTAAAGCAATTGTAATTTTTCAGCACAAGGCAGGGAAGCACCAGGAATGTGCTGTTGCTAAAAAACCCATTTCCACCATTTTCTTTTTCTAAGTGATGTATGACAAAGTGTGTCATAAGTGTTCACGCAGATATGGCAAAGACCAAAACCACTCCTGAGACAGGGACAAAAAGAAGAAAATAGGACTAAAAGTGGTGTGAATGTCTCAAGTACATGTGTCCCATTGTGTCTACAGGCAAAATGCTACGACCACCTCCTGTCTTTTATAATATGGTTTCTAAATCTGGCATTACTTATCAAGAGAGCTGGTACTGCTTACATCCTTTCTGAGCTAAAAAAAAATGCTCCTTTGCCTGAAAGACCTTATCATAAATGTCTCCACAACACCTACACATTTAAAGATGCAGAGTCTGAAATGGATGATGGGTCTATTGGATTCAAAATGCTGCCTGTGTGTCATGGTTTAAGCCCAGCCAGTAACTCACAGCCATGCAGCCATTCACTCACTCCCCCCACTTCTTCCTCTCCCCACTCCAAGAGGGATGGGGAGGAGAATTGAAAGAATGTAACTCCCACGGGTTGAGATAAGAACAGCCCAGTAACTAAGGTATAACATAGACCCACTACTGCTACCAACAATAGTAATAATGATAAGGGAAATAACAAGGGAAGAGAATACAATACCACCCGTCGATACCCAGCCCAACCGAGCAGTGAACTGCCCCTTCTGGGTAACTCTCAGTTACATCCTGGGCATGATGTGCTGTGGTATGGGACACCTCTTTGGTTAGTTTGGGTCAGGTGTCCTGTCTCTGCTTCCTCCTGGCTTCCCCTCCTCCCTGACAGAGCAAGAGACTCAGAAAGGCCTTGGTCAGAATAAACATTACTGAGCAGCAACTAAAAACATCGGTGTTATCAGCGCTGTTGCCAGGCCAAAAGTAAAAAATACAGCACTGCACCAGCTACTAAGAAGGAGAAAAATGACTGCTACTGACGAACCCAGGACACTATCCACTCCTTATTCCATACCATTCACGTCATGCTCAGATCCCACATTTTCCAATATACCATCACTCTTGTCTCATATATTTATATATATAAATATACATATTTATATATATATATACATATATATATATATATACACATGCACACACACACACAAACATGCACACACACAAGCGCACACACACACACACACACGCAGATATCATTCCTTAGGCCATGGAACAATACCTATAAATCTGCTGAATTCATCCAGTCCATGATGTTGGGCTCCATCTCTTGTAGCAGTCTTTCAGAGCAGGAGACACGGTGTGCAGTTTTGGATCGCTGTCGGCTGATGACACCACGGAACTTGTCTGGTCACTGCTGAGCTCATCTGGTTTCATCATTCTTTGTTGGGCTGATGGCTGGAGGAAGTCAGGGCCAGTCACTGGTGATCTGAAGACATCTAGTTGGTGGGCTATAAAAGTGCTACATAGCAGGCAACAGCATACAATTGAGTTGATTGACTATTTTTGCCTAAAATCAAATCCCCTTGAGGTACACATTGGACTTCCCCATCTTCCTGCATTACCCACCAAGTATATCCAGGTCCCTGAGCAAAAGCAATCCCATGAGTGGGTTTGCCTTTACCTGAAGCAGGAATAACCCAGACTGTCTTCCCCAGCAAATTCTGCATGTGCACCCCAGGAACTTTATCCCCTTCTGCAATATGTAGAAGTTCTGACTGAGCTGGACCAGCTCTGTTGGCAGATCCTCTGGTGTTGACCAACCAGGTGGCTTTTGATAAATGTGTATCCCAATGTTTGAAAGTCCCACCACGCATTGCTCTCAGTGTAGTTTTTAACAGCCCATCGTGCCATTTGATTTTCCCAGAGGCTGGTGCATGGTAGGGGATGTGATATACCCACTCAATGCCATGCTCTTTGGCCCAAGTGTCTATAAGGTTGTTCCAGAAATGAGTCCCATTGTCTGACTTAATTCTCACTCTGGGGTGCCGTGTCACCACAAAATCTGTTTCTCAAGGCCCAGGATAGTGTTCCGGGCAGTGTCATGGGGCACAACGTATGTTTCCAGCCACGAAACTTAAAAAGTCTTTGGTCAGAGTAAACATTACCTAGCAACAACTAAAACCATCGGTGTTATCAGCGTTGTTCCCAGGCTGAAAGTCAAAAACACAGCACTGCACCAGCTACTAAGAAGGAGAAAAAACTACTGCTACTGCTGAACCCAGGACACTGTGTGATGTGAACAGAGATCTGAAGAGGGAAGAGATAGTGCCATCTAATTTCCTCCTAATTTATTATTGACAGAAGTCTGCCTGCTACTAGAGGGTTGCTGGTGTTGGAGTTCACATTCCTCATGTTCCTTACAATCCTCCAGGACTTATGTTAGTAGATTGTATCAAGCATGTATAAATGCAACTGTATTCACAATTACATTAGTTTACCTTCATGGCTAAAATACTTTGTCTTTTGGGCTGTCTGCACTTCTCTATAACTGATGCTTCTACTTTCAGCACTTCTGAACTAATAACTCACTATGAATGCTTCCTTGTTCAGTAGCCTGGCTGAGTTCAAGCATTTTTGTAGAGAATGTATTTTTTTTTAATTTCCTTTTTTTTTTTTTTCTTTTTCCCCCTCGATAATGAAACAACCCAAAATGCTTGAAATATTTATGGAACATTAACGAGGGAAGAGCTTCAAATGGTTGCAGTGAATAGAGAAGAATTTTGAAAGCCAAGGAGCTATTTAAGCATTGTTTTAGCTCTTCTTTCCTCCCTCATAATCAGCAAAGTCTTTCTGCAGAAAAAACCCTATCAGAATCTTTCACTGCTAAGCTGCCATGTACAGTTTTTGGTTAGAGAATTGTTACTAACGTATTCTTTTCCATCAGCCTTACACTGACAGAGGATGTAGAAGCATGCCCGTCAGGAAGCAAAAATTATTTTTCTTGGGAGGCTTTTGCCACCAGCAGTTTGATGAATTTGAAGTCTCAGACTTAACTTGTTTCTCATTTGGTATAGATGGTCATAGTCTTTGGGCTGGAAGTGAGAAAACACATGTTCTTTTGCAGGTGCTCTCAGGCCACAGGCACGCTGGGCTCATCTCTCCCAACTTACGTAAAGGTCTGCTCCTCTAATTACCTGGAATAGAGAATGGAGAAGGGAAGGGAAAAGAAGGGACAGGAAGGGAAGGGAAGGGAAGGGAAGGGAAGGGAAGGGAAGGGAAGGGAAGGGAAGGGAAGGGAAGGGAAGGGAAGGGTAGGAGTCCTTCTGCCTGAAGACTAGTATTTGTGCATAAATTCATTTTGATAAATCCATTTTTGCATTGCCTAAGTGCCTTGCTTTTCAAAGATTCAACTCAGCAGTATTCACTGGAGTGTAAGTGCAAAGTCTTCAGAGGCTTTTCTGGAAGAAGTTTGTTTTTGTTTTTTTTTTAAATATTTTTAGATTTTTTTTATTGTGTTATTTCCTTTTAATTTCATGGAACTAAAAGGGAATAACTGAAAATATTTACCTTTTTTCAAACATGCCCCAAAACTCACAGGCCCTGGCATCCAGAAACATGCATTCCTAGTGAGCCCCCAAAACAGCGACTGTTTCAGCATTAGGGCTCTTTACGTTTACCTCAGCCTGCCATCACAATAAGGAACACGAGGACACAGACAAAAGCATTCAACAGATGTGTTGCTCCGTTCCACACTTTAATTTGAGCCTTACTTCTCCACTGCATTTATTTTAGACTCTTTTTTTTTTGACCCAGACCCAGCCTTGGTGTGGCTGAAATAAGTGGATTTACACTGGGGAGTTTTTTTGCCTGCTATGCTAACATCCCTATTTATTCATAATCAGCCTGTCCTGAGGTGTTTTCAAGGTTTCCTTTATTTTCAGCTGAGTGAAGAATTGCTCCTATAAATAACACTGGTATGGGAGAGAGAGGGGAGAGAGATTAAAGAATACAACCCAGAGATACGTAAGTACAGGCAACAAAACTCCTTGACAACTTTTATTCTATTATCACAGAGCACCATTTCAGCTAGCACTACTGAGGCAATACAAGACTTTACTACTGGGCATAAACAACACATAATGAGCATCTCTGGGACCCTGGGTAACTCCCATTAGTGGGGGAAGCTCTTTGTAAGTCCAGTGTTGGTTTACCACCTTATTTTATTAACTCTGACTCACTAGACGGCAGCAGTGCTCGGCAGTACACCAACAGCTAACTTCTCCAGGGCTCACTGTGTGATGGATTTCCTGATGCTGACTTCTGGGGTATTTTTCTGATGAGAGGATCATGCAGGTGATGAGCTTGGGTGTTGGTGGAACAGTAGCTGGAGACAACAAATAAAAACAAAGGTCTGCTTGGATTTCTGTGCGTGCAGCCCCCTGTACATAGCTCACTGAGCCAGCCCATGCCTTCTCCCCAGGCAGCATGGGGAAGTGTAAAACTTGTCACTGACCTCCATCTCCTCTCCTACCACAGGGATTGGGATGAGGGAAAAATTGTCTCTTGACCCATGTCCCCTTTGACAGCATGGAACCAGGACATGTCACTGTCTGGTTCCCGCCACTCAGACATCTCCCTTGGGGCCACTTTCATGACTTAAAGAGATCTACAAATCATGGAATCATACAATCCCAGACTGGTTTGGGTTGGAAGGCACCCCAAAGCTCATCCAGTTCCAACTCCCTGCCATGGGCAGGGACACCTTACACTAGACCAGGTTGCTCCAAGCCCCATCCAACCTGGCCTTGAACATTGCCAGGGATGGGGCAGCCACAGCTTCTCTGGGCAACCTGTGCCAACGCTTCACCACCCTCACAGGAAAGAACTTCTGCCTAAGAGCTCACCTCAATCTCCCCTCTGTCACGCTAAAGCCATTTGCCCTTGTCCTGTCCCTACGGACCCTTGTCCAAAGCCCCTCTCCAGGTTTCTTGTAGCCCCTTTAGGCACTGGAGCTCCTCTAAGGTCTCCCGAAGCCTTCTCTCCTCCAGGCTGAACAAGCCCAGCTCTCTCAACCAGCCTTCACAGGGGATCACTGTTCTTGTGAGGAACGCAGAAACATGGGCTCAGTATATCAACAGGTAGATATAGTCCTGACCCTCACAAACACTGCTTTTAATATGATCATACAAGTAAAGTAGAATAATATTCTTGGGGTGTCAGGTTTTCATTTAATTTTTTTTTACAAACAGAATCAACCAAAGGCTTGTAATAATACTGGCAAGTGCTTGGAACACATTTCTTGATGCCCAAGGAACTGAGATAGAGAGTAGAGGCCTGTGGCACTTCCACTGAGTGTTTGAAGAATGCTCCTGTCAGGTTGTTAACTTGCTCCACCAAAGTAACACACCAGTTACTTTGCTCATTACACTCTTCCCTGTGAGGCAGGGGATGGATTTTAAAGTTCTTTTTCTGACCTGCCAGACATCCAGCGGTCCAGTTCCTGTCAACCGGCACAAGCTCTTCTCCCTTCTGGCACTGCAGATTTGAGTGCCGTCGTGATTTAACCCCAGCCAGCAACTGAGTCCCACGCAGCTGCTCACTCACTCCCTTCCCATGGGATGGGGCATAGAACTGAAGAGTAAAAGTGAGCAAACTCAATGAATCCATTCACCACTTCCCATGGTCATGTAGTTCAGTCATCCCCAGCACAGCAGGGCTCCATCACATGCAATAGTGACTTGCAAAGACAAACACCATCACTCTGAACATCCCTTTCCTTCTTCTTCCCCCATCTCTTATATCTGAGCATGATGTCCTATGGTCTGGGATACCCCTGCGCTCAGTTGGGGTCAGCTGTCCTGATGGTGCCCCCAACTCCCTGTGCACCCCAGCCTGCTTGCTTGTGGGATAGGGTGAGGAGCAGAAAAGGCCTTGGCTCTGTGTGAGCACTGATCAGCAGTAACGAAAGCATCCCTGTGTGATCAGCACTGTTTCCAGCACAAACCCAAACCAGAGCCCCACACCAGCCACTGTGGAGAAAATTAACTCTAACCAGCCAAAACTGGCACAAGGCTGCTGTCCATCATCTGCTGCTAGCTCTAAGAACTTCACCTTTCTTTGCATTCCACATTGGAACACTTTGCCAATTTGTAGTCTGCTCAGTCATAGCAAGATTTTTTACACACAAATGCTGCTCTGGGGAACTGGGAGCATTTACTGGCCCCTAGCTGATATAATTATACTCTCATTGCTGTTATGAGTTTTTCAAATGCTTTAGTGTATGTTAAAACAACAGAGATGAAACTTTGATGTTCAGTACAAGGACGAAATCATCAAAACCATTCGGTGCTTTTTAAAAAGAAATACTACTGTGACACATATTTATTTCTAAGTTCTCACATGTAGTGGTCAGGTGAAGTCACAATACACCACAGGCCTGTCAAGCTCCATCACGCCATTCACCAACATGGCAGCTGCTGCTCAGCAGCTTGACATTTTAGGAGAAAAAGGACATGTGTGCTTGCTATCAGAAAATACATTTCAAGTTAGCTCAGTTGAACTGAACAGTAACCACTTCAGAACGACAAACAGTCAATAAAACAAGGAGCACTTTAAGTGGCAACTTTGGAGCCCCCAGTTTGAATAGTCTGCTGTGTTCCTGTTTGGAAGAGCCTGTGCTCCAGTTAACATGAGTACTCTATACACAGAGACACATACATGTGTGTGTGCATGGCATAGCAGTGGGAAACAATATAAACACAGATGTACAGAGTTAAAATAATTTGTTCATAATTTTGTAATATGATAGGTTGGGAGTGGGGATTAATATCTAGAAAACTCAGGCCAAACCAAGGTACACACAAAGACGAACCCACAGCCCCTGTAGTCCTAAATTCCTGTCTCATGGCATGGCATTCCAAGTGAAACGAACACAAATGCAAGCGTCTCCTTTTTGCCTTGGTTTCTTGTGGAAGTAAGTCATCAGTAACTCTTGTGGATGTGGCAATCTGTCTGCTGGTGATTTCTCATTCTGTTTGGAGCCCTGAATCAAACATGTTTGTAAAGTTAATCTCAATTACAATTACACTGTCTGTAGGACAGAACTATCGTATGTGGCCCAAACAGACACACTCTTAAAACAGGAACTTGCATTTCTCATCTATCAATCATGAAATACCAATGCACACACGACCAGACTTAAACAGTCCCACTACTCACAGAACTGGCTTAAATGAGTGCAGCACCCACACACCTAAGTCAAAAGAACCTCTGAGTAAACCCCTCCCACCTTATATGCTAAGTGCCTATATTCTTATTTTAAAATGCTGGGAAATACCTTTATTGTACTCAGAAGATTTAGGTATTCATCTAAATGAAAACGTTCCATTCTGACATGTTTTTTTTCCAAAAAAAAAAAAAAATAATGAGCTCTCACTGGATTAGATTTTGATGGCTTTGCCAGCATTTTTCTTCAATATCCTTTCACATTAGGCTTTAAGTGAAGGTTTTCTTAACAGCTTTCACCTTACAAAAAAGAAAAGTATTCCCAAAATGGGATTCGGACCCTTGACAGGACCAGGAAAAATATGGTAAAATTTTTAGGGGGCAAGAACTGCACCCCAGTTCCAGTGCGTGAATAAGGGCAGATGATTCATGATTTGATTCAGACCCTCTGAATGACTGTCAGAGGCAGTTAAATCTCCTTGGTAATTAGCCAGAGAGACTCTGGATGCATTCAGGCTATCCAAATGTGAACTGCAGGATTTATGGATATACTGTAAGTGATAAACCTGGTGTTAAATTTCTGATCAGCTTTTAGAAGTCTTCGAAGCTGGGTCTGCTTCACTATGTGGAAAAAATCCTCAGCTGCTGAAGATGCTCTCTAAATTTTCTCATACGTCCAATGAAAGGCAGAACTTCCACAACAGAAAACTCATTTCTTCATGCCGCTCGTTTATCCTTCACAGAGTAACAACGGTGCAGATAGAAGTTCTTTAAATGCATGCCTGTATGTGATTCAGTCACTAGTGTGTTTTATATTTTGGCTTCTGCTAGACAACTGAAAACCCAGCACGTGGTGGGAAGCAGAGCTCTTGTTCTTTTATAGAATCCCAGACTAGTTTGTGTTGGAAGAGACCTTAAGCTCTTCCAGTTCCAAACCCCTGCCACAGGTAGGGACACCTTCCACAAGACCAGGTTGCTCCAAGCCCCATCCAACCTGGCCTTGAACACTGCCAGGGATGGGGCAGCCACAGCTTCTCTGGGCAACCTGTGCCTGGGACTCAGCACCCTCACATGGAAGAACTTCTGCCTAAGAGCTCATCTCAATCTCCCCTCTGACAGGTTAAAGCCATTCCCCCTTGTCCTGTCCCTACAGGCTCTTGTCCAAAGCCCCTCTCCAAGTTTCTTGTAGCCCCTTTAGGCACGGGAGCTGCTCTAAGGTCTCCCCTTAAGGAGCCTTTTCTTCCCCAGGCTGAACAAGCCCAGCCCTCTCTGACTGTAAGCGGACCAGAGACTAAACGGCGAACATTCTTTTGCCTTGAGGAGCCGCAGAGGCAGACACTCGCACATTTCCCTCAGGTGTTAAGGGCTCCGCCCCCTTCTCAACTTCGGCGGCACATCGGGCAGGCCCATGAGGCGGCGGCTGGCCCCCTTCTCCCCAGGCTCGCTGGGACGGCCGCGATGCACCTCGGGGCTGACCGGTAACAGCCACGCCATCAACCACCACACAGGCACAACCCCGGACTGCGCGACCTGCACACCCTAAACCACTTCCGGTTTTACCCCTCCCCCGTCCCTCCGCATGCGTCTCCTCGACAGCAGGCCGGACGGGGGGAACGCGAGCAGGGCGCATGTGCAGGGGAGCCACCGTTCTGCCTGCCGTCCTGCCGCTGAGTTGCCCTGTCCCGTCTCCCGCTCCCGCTTCTGTTCCCGTTCCGCTCCCGCTCATCTCCTAGTGCACGCTAACTCCGCCACCCTGCGGCCTCCAGCAAGGCGTTTAGCGCTCGACGCGACCGTTTCGCGTCACGTGGCCGGGGTCGTGCCGGCGCCCTGCCTGAGGCGAGCTGCACACATAGTGCCTGATGGGGCTGGTGTATATACCCTTACAACGGACCGTCCGCTCCGGCGGCGGAATTTTTCTCCGATTATCCTCTCTACATCGGGGGCAGAAGGGTAGGTGTGGCGGTGTCTGTCCCGCCCCCAGAGTAGCTCGTCCTTTTCCGCGCAGGCAGTTGGTTAAACAGCTGAGGGGGGAGGGCTACGTGCTGTGGGGTCCTGGCGTGACCTCGGCGACGGGCGGGAGCCGGCGGCGAGTGTATGTGCTGCGAACGGGGCCGGGCCGGGCGGCGGCGGCGGCTCGGGCACCATGGTGAGCCCGCGGGGCCGGGAACGGGGTGAGCCCGTCGCGGGTGCTCCTGTCTGCTTGGACTCCATGATGTGGCTCTGGGGATCGGGGGGTGGACGGGTGGTACCAGGGAGCTCCGTTATTAGCGCTCATCTGCTCTGGTGTTCACTACACCTGGTTCATTCCCGGGTTAGTGGCATGTGCGGTGATAACACATGGGTTACTTGGCTTGGGAAGAACCCTACCTCGGGTTGTCTCGACAGGTGCTTTAGCACTGACACGGCTCAGTTTCTTAGGTGTAACACAGAGTAAATGGACCCGTAGTAGCAGGAGAGTGAAATTTGGCCAGGGTTATTCCTGCTAACGATACAGAATCATACCATCATTGGATGGCTTGGGTTGGAAGGTACCCCAAAGCTCATCCATTTCCAGTGGCCTCCCTCGTGCAGGGACACCTTCCACTAGACCAGGTTGCTCCAAGCCCCGTCCAGCCTGGCCTTGGGCACTGCCAAGGATGGGGCAGCCACAGCTTCTCTGGGCAACCTGTGCCTGGGACTCAGCACCCTCACAGGGAAGAGCTTCTGCCTAAGAGCTCATCTCAGTCTCCCCTCTGTCAGGTTAAAGCCATTCCCCTTTGTCCTGTCCCTACAGGCCCTTGTCCAAAGCCCCTCTCTGAGTTTCTTGTAGCCCCTTTAGGCACTGGGAGCTGCTCTAAGGTCTCCCTGGACCCTTCTCTTCTCCAGGCTGAACAAACAGACTTCTTTCACTATAAAGATAGCTGAATTTTATATTTACGTCTTCATTGCCATTTAAAACTCCGAAGTTGCTTGGCTCTCTTAACATACTTTACAGATACAGGGTATATGGAGATCCATAGGGATACTTGAGTGCAGATATAAAAACTTATTTTGTATGTCGTGTTAATACATATATTTATTTTCCATGTGGATGTGAATGGTAGTGCGCTGTTTAAACTATGGCGACATGATGTTTGTTCGAATGATGGAAATCTTGCTTAGGGAGTAAACTTCAGAGTTATACTTTGGGTAAAGTCTGACTTTAAGCTCTTCTGATTCTAGTAAGGTTATTTTAATAGTGTATGGTTTGACATCTGAAAAGAGCTGCAGAGTTACTTTTCTCATGATGGCTTTTCCTCTGTTCTTTTTTTTTTTTTAATCTTTTTTCTGTAGGGATTAGAGTATTTAATCAAAGTCTTGAGAGATTCCTGTCATTTGTAGGAGTGTATGAGTACTGTCACCTAGCTATGTGGAGCTACTCTGGGATATTTGGAAGCGAATACAGCTTTTTCTCTTAGTGTAGTTCCTCATTTAAATAAACTGAGTGCTTCCTTCTGTTGCCTGATTGAATTGGAAAATCAGGTCTATTTTTTTCGCTAGCTGCTGGCAGCATGGACAAATAATCTTTTTGTGTGATTCTATGACATAAGCAAAGTGAAAAGATGATAGTCTGCTACTTTTATGCTGCTTGGAAGCTGTATTCTCCAGTTCCAAAGCAAAAGGAGTATGAAATATTCAACAGGTTCTTTTGCACTGAGAGGGCTGTAAATCAAGTCAGAATAATTCAGTGGTAGCACTCTGCCAAGTTGGAACCAACAGGACTCAGAGTCTGTGTAGCTCTGAACTAATTTTACTTGTAATTTAATAATATGTTGAATGCGTACTGGTGTTTTGCCCAGCAAACATTCTGTATTGGCTTCTTCAGTAATAATGCTAATCTGTGATCTTATAAATGCTCTTGATCCAGTCATAGAGTTTCTAAAGCAATAATTTGATTTTCCTAATGATCACTAGTTCTGTAGTCTTTGTGCTAAGAACCTCGGTGAAAAAAGAAGCAAGACTGTCAGGTAAACTGCAGTTGGCTGGCTGGAATGTAGTTTTGGTTTAAACAACACACCTTGTTTCAGAGGGTGTCATGTTGCTGGTGACTGCTTCCATCTAGCAGTTTATGGCTCTCCTTTGAGCATGTGGAGAGGTGCTGGTCAAGAGAGAATGGAGGGAAGACCCGCGGAGGTGAGCAGTTTGGTGGTAGTCCCAAATTCCTTGATGTTCTTTGAGCTGCTTTATATGTCTTCTGTTCATCTCTGCTGTGTTGTAAACAGTGGTAGGTGCAGGAAAAAAAATCCGGCAAGACTTGGTCATAAAAAAAGAAAAACCTGAATTTTGAAGGTGTCTCTTGGCATTGATTTCTTTCCCAACCTAATCTTTAAGAATGTTTGATTTTTACAGATTATAAGATTTGAACTGCCTCTGATTGCTAACTACACAAGGTATAATTCTGACTATAGCTATTTTGTGAAAGTCGTCTTCATTTTTTGCTTTTGCAAATACAGCTTAATGGACATACACATACGGAAAAAATTTTGCATATGGAATAGTCTCATTTAATAGCATGAGCAGTAATATGTCATTTATTAAATGCATTTCAAACAGGTTGTATCAGTGTAGCTTCTAGGTTTCACAAATGCCATTGCACTTTTGGAACTGCAGAAGATAAAAGTATTTGTTACAGTCTCCTGGAGACCTTACAGGTCGGTACTTATTTAAAAGCTTTTCCATTTCTTCTTGAAAATTCACAACTTTGTTAGTATATTTGCATGCTACCACTGGAAGAGAT